ATATATTGATTAGCTAAGAAAACATAGTTAATCATGTAATCATTACTTTATAAGCTTATCTAGAAGATTACGGAGTTGAACTTTATCGTAAAAAGTTTTAAAATCAAACAAATGATCAAAAATAAAAAAAATAAAGTTTTAAAAGTTAGATTTCCCATATACATAAAAAATACAATAATATTAAACAAGTATCATGACAAGTTATCAAAGTTTTACAAATGTGAAAAATATGCACAGACTTTAGGAGAACTGTAAGAGAACTAATAATTACTATGTTTATTTTTTCATTTTCAGAAAAGATTTGTGTTTTGTACATCGTAAGATTGAATATTTTTGGTATGGTTCAAGATCATTTAGATGATACTTTGGCGTTTATTATCTAATATTTTTAATTTTTTGTGCGGGGTTTTAAAACAAAAGTTCACGTTGACGTTAAGTTACACATTTAAATACATTTAAATGAATTATTTTCATTGGTACATTATAAATAGGGAAGCTTATGTCGTCAATTGACGAAACTTTCTTTGATGACCATTTTAAGAAATATAATATTACATAATCTCTCTTTTTTTTATATAAAATGAATCAAAAATAAGCAGGAAAAGGAGTTTTTCAAGAAGGATAAAAACAGGTTAGATTATTTGATTTGTTTTCCAAATATAAAAGATCAGAAATATACATGATACAAAAGAACCCGAACAAGGTTAATGAAAAATTATTTATTCTACCAATCAAATCAAGGACAATACATCACATACTATTAACACTTCTTGGAGGGAGTATTGAATAAATTGTACATTGAAAATCTAATTCTGTAATTCAGCAGATTACAAAATTGGTAAGTAATTTTCCAAAGTAGAAAAAGAACGCGTAGATTAAAATGATATACATATAACAAAGAAAAATCAAGTCTTATTTTAATGTTTCACTATTTTTAAATTTTGGTAACAGATTTAAATTGAAACGGAAGTAAATTTATTTTTCATAAATAATTATGCAATTAAATAATTAGAAAATTCGCTAAAAATTTTCTTTTTGGAATATAAACTTGCTTAAATTTACTTGCTTTTTTTTTTTTCTTCAAAGATTAAATGATTAAATAAGCAATTACCATAAGTTATCATGTAAATAATAAGCCATTCTTTTTAATCGATCTTTTTTTAATCTACGGACTATCATAAGTCGTAGATGCTTTTGGCGGAATAATGGAAACGTTATTCTTTCGTAAAAAATAATTTATATTATATTATATTATATTATATTATATTATATTATATTATATTATATTGTATTATATTGTATTATATTATATTATATTATATATTATATAATATAATATTATTTTATTTTATTTTATTTTATTTTATTTTATTTTTATTTTTATTTTTTATTTTTTATTTTTATTTTTATTCTATATTTATTACTTATTCTAATAAGGAATTTTTTATGATATTGTTATACAAAATTTGATAGGTGTCGAAGGTTTGAAACTAAATAGACAATGTTTGACTAAAAAGAAAAAAAGAAAAAGAAAAAATTTTTTTTCTTAAAAGACATTTTATTTTAAGAAAACCCTTTTTTAGGTAGATTGAGGGTTTTTGATTAATATTATGATTATTATTATTATTGTCGAGATTTGCAATATCAAAAGATATTTTTAATAAAGTGAAAAGAAAAATATAATTATTATTGTCGAGATTTGCGATAAAAAGATATATGATTATTATATAATTTATTATTATTGTAATTTTAAATTTTAAATGATTTATTATTAAAATCGAGATTTAAAATATCAAAAAAAGATAAAAAATGATATTATCAATAAATTTTTTAGACATTGTTGGAATAAACATATAAACAATAGCTTACATAATAAATTACCTAAAAAATTGGTCGATTCCATGAATGTATATATTATATATCGGGATGTGAGAAAAAATTAAAGGTGACGCATTAACACAACAACAACAACAACAACAACAACAACTACAGTTTAACAGTTTCAAATTTTTTTTTTTTTTTTTGAAAACAATAACAAAAAAACTTTTGTAGTAATGATCAAAAGGTTTACAAATTTTCAATAAAATATATTTCCAAGTGTAACTTGATTTACGTGTAGAAATATTATTAAATTTCGGCATCATTTAATAGATAGTTAATTTCTCTTACATTATTTTAATGTGAATGATCTTAAATAATTTATCATATTCTAATTTGGTAAAGATTATCAATTAATTTCTAATTTCAAAGTAAATACGTGATCAATGATTTGTCGATCAAACGGTTTACAACATGTCCTTTCCATTTCGAATTATTTATTAAAAGTAAATTAACTAAAAAAATAATAATTCTTCGGAATTTAATTAATCATCCTGCCGTAATTCGGAGGGTAAAAAAAAAATTAAATTTATTTGCAATTTATTCAAATTTTTCTTAATTCTTTAAATGTTTAAAAAAATCTATTTTTGGTTTCTTTCTTAAAGATCAATCCGGTAATCGATAAATTATGTTCTCTTCTATTACACTTTTTACGGTAAAATCAATAAATGAAATTATTTACACATGGTATTTTATTATTATTTCGTGTACTTCAAATGGAAACCAAATTTATAATAATGTGGCGTAATTTTTTCATTTTCAAATAATAAGAAATATTTTAATTTATTAGATTTCTTTTATGAGACGTTTGAAAAATATCTTTCTAAATGTTTGATATTAATATGAGACGCATGCATGTTCAACATATGTAAAGTTCGATGTGTGATAGAATAAAATTATATTATATCACTCCATATTAATATAATAAATGCGATATGACATCATGAAGCATAAATTTTTTAAATCTCGCAGCAAGTATAATATGTATGCTATTTATCATTTAACCATTTTCTCTCTCTCTCTTTTCTCTTTTATAAGAATTACGAATAGATAAATTTGGTTCTTTTAATATAATATTCTACATTAGGATAGATTTTGTGATATCTGTTAGTAGATATATATCTACTTTATTTAGCTTATCAAATACAATATATACAAAAAAAAAAAAAAAAAAAAAAT